TGTGTATATGTGTGTGTGTGTGTGTTTGTGTGTGTGTGTGCATGATTTTTAGAAATAATTTACTTTAATACAAATATATTTTGGAAAGGAGAATGAAAACATCTGGTATATCAAAAAAAATCCAGTGAAAATCAATGTTAGAGAATTTGAATTGGCTTAGTTTTATTACAAAAAATTGAATGTCTGGCCATCATGAATTTGTATAGGATACAGAGTTAAGTGAGCTTCCCTAACATATCCTAACTAAATTATCTTCTTTTATAAGCTACTGCAAATATATTTTCCTTGAAAGCATGCACAGGAATATGGCAATGTTCTGGTTAGCCAATAGCGTGTCCTAAAAGGCACTGCTTAGTTGTATAATGTTTTAAAAGAAAAAGTGAGTATCAACATGAAGGAAAGAGCTATGACTGAAAAAGTAAAGTCCATCTAGAGACTTCAGAAGTTTTAAATTCTTTATCTACTGGTTGATTTTTTATTAGTGAATCAAACACTTGACCTACAAGTATTCTGATGAATCTCAGTGATGTCCAGTGAAGTTATTACTGAGAATGTAGCACCCTGTTCCTGCTGTAGAATGAGGAAGAATTAAAGAAGAAATGGGATCCATAAAACTCTAGCTGAGGAGGTTGATCAGATACTCAATGGGTATTTAAGAATGAATGAAAAGAGACTTTGAAATGAAATAATTAATGTATCTGGTAAATGCTGGTCATGAGTTTCCCAAAATATTCTTGTCCATAATCTGAAAAGGTGATCATACTGCTCAGGGAAGATCAGCAAGGTGTCCCTTTTGAAGTAGTGTACCGATTAGAATGGAAGATCTGGCATATAAAGCAGTTGGTCATCCAATTACATCATCTTTTTATTCTTATTTTGGGCCCAGACTGTTTATTCTCTTCATTCACTGTGGTCTTGTCTCCTGATTTATAAGTCTTTTCTCTATCCAGCTCCTTCTGTAACCACAGTTCACTTCCAAATTCATAAAAATAACTCTCCCATTGCTTAACCTAGACATTTTTGGATCCCAACAACCTTTCAACTAATTACCAGATATATTTAAAAAAACCTCATTATTTGAAATTTTCCCACCTCTTAAATTTTAATCTATCGTATACTGATCTATGAACAAAATCTTCTATCTTTTCAACTCTACTTTCACCATATGTATTCTTCAAATATATTATGATACTCATCCCTCAAATAATCTTCCTTATAGACTTATTTTCTTCTTCATTTCTAGTATAGCCTCCAGGGTTCTCCAATTATTCTGTTCTCCATTCCATTCACAGTTCTTTCCTTTCTGAAGTTCTTTCCTTTCATTGCCTCTGCCATGCTAATCACCCCAATCCCTACTTTGAAATAATCCAACTGTGTTTTCACTTCTGTATTCAGGTAAAAATGGCTAGAAGAAATCACTACTTGCAGATTTATGCTGATATTAACTGTATGGTCTCCAGCTCTAGCTTCTTCCTTAGTTGCTTGCTCTTTTTCTTGTTAGCTGCAAAAGTGATTTCAAACCTTCCTCAACTACAGCTTCCTATTCACACCACCCCTGACCTCTCATTCTCAGTGAGCCATTTCATCTATTTCCCAAAGAAATTTTAGGCCTCCAACTTGAATTCATTTAAATCCATATCCGTATCTTCCTATGTCCTTACCTATAAATTCTACACATCTTATATTTACCCTCACTTCCTTTTCCACTGTCTCAGGAGTAGGCTCCTTCCTGTTAAAAGGTAATAATCCCCCTGTTAATGCTCCTAGGAAGCTTTAAAATTGGGTATTGCCAGGCCTCTGTGCTGGGCATCATTATGATTCCCAAAAGATATCATGCCTTGATCCCTATAACTATGAATAGGATAAGTTACCACACCTGTGAATATCCACCTTACAGGGCAAAAACGATTCCTCCTGTGTAATTAAGCATGCTAGTCCATCAACTTCAAAATAGGAAATAATGCTGGATTATTCAAGTGGGCCCCATAGCAGTATAATCACATGAGCCTTTAAATGCAAAGGCAAAAAAGAAAGTTATATTCACAGTAGGAGAGAGTTTGACATGACATTGCTGACTTGAAGATGGAATAGGCCATATGGAAAAGAGAAGGAAATGAATTTTGGTAATAACAGCAGTCTTAGAAAGAAGGCCTCAAAACCTGGATGTGAACCGCATCTCTGACTGACACCTTGATTTCAGTCTTGTGAAAACCTAAGCAGAAAACTCAACTGAGCCATGCTGTGGCCTGGACTTAGGACCCATGGAAACTGAGATAATATATGGTCATTGTTGTAAACCAATACGTTTATGGTAATTTCTTACACAGCAATAGGAAAACACAGGCTCTAACTCTTTTCCTTTCCCGAGATTGCTTTGGCTATTCCAGGATCTTTGCATTTTCATATAATTCAAATATTAATAAATTCAAAATACCTAAGTATATTTAAATGTCTTCATCTAAATTTAATCTTATGTATATTTAAAACAGATTTAAATATTAATTTCTATCCAAAGGCTCTTTGCATATTAATTATTCTTGCATTGAAGTAATAGATAAATTTGGGGAAAATTGTCATGTTAATAATATCACCTTCTAGTTCTTGAACATAGTATAACTCTACTAATTTAGGTCTTTAATTTTTTTTGGCAAAATTTTGTCATTTTCAGGCATAAGCCTTGCATATCTTCTGTTAAACTTACATATAAGTAATTTATATTTTTTTGATGGTATTGTAAATGGAGTTTCTTAGTTTCATTTTCCAATTATTTGATCCTGGTATATTAAATATAATAAATTATTGTACTTCTCACTCTCCAGTTCATTTACATAGTTTATTTTACTTTTATTTTTTTATATTTTGTCCACAGTTTATTAACTGTAGGAAAGCTATTTCAATATATTTCTTAGACTTAATTAGTATCATTAATTACATATACAATTCCCTTTTGCCATGACTTCTGTTCTGCTGCATGTCCAGACATGACTACCCTCCAGAGCTCCTGACTCAAATTAGGTGTAGCTAATTTTCATTTGGTGATTATTAAATGCCAGGCATCCCTCTAAGGATTTTTAAATGCATTAGCTTATTTACTCCTTTCTAACCCTATGATTTGGATTATCCCTTCTTAAAAATGAAATAAATGATTGAGACAGAATTTAAATAACTTGTTCAAAATCACACAATCAGTAAGTTGCAAATCTGGGCTTTGAACTCAAGCATAATGGTTTTTCTGTTTCTACTTCACTTAACCATAAGCCATTGCTTCTCTATATTCAACTCCCTGGGCATTACCACAGATAGCCAGGCTCTTTAAGTTGAGTATTACCAATTTAAACAGAGCTCCAATCTTTCTCCCACTCTAGCTGCTCTTTCTGATGAATGCCAATGCCCTATTATCTATCCAATAAAAGGAATTCTTAATCTCAAGCACTCAAAAGGATTTTAAGTGCATTAATTCATTTAAGGTACATTAATTCATTTAGTTTTTTTACTAAGCCCTATGAGTTGGATTATCACCTTTTTAAAGATGAAGAAAATGAGATAGTGGGAACTTAAAATAGCTTTTCTAAAATAACATAGTCTGTAATTTTCAGACTTTCTAGACTTAGACTTCTCTTCTACTCTCCAAGTCCAGAATTCTGAGTATGCCTAAATACAATTTATTAAGGGTTTCATGATCTGGTCTAAGTCTGTTTTTCCAGACTTACCTCCTCTACTGTTCTTGTCAGAACTGTATGACCCAGCCAATTAGAATATTGAAACTTCTCAGAGTATACCAATCTGTGCTATCCTCTTTGCCTTTATTTTAGCTGTTCATGCTATAAAATAAACATGTTTGAACAAAATGTTCTTCCTTCTATTTTCTTCTTGGAAAATATACATCTTTCAAGACTTAAGTTCAATAATTATGTCAACTCTGGAGCATTTCTTGTCTTCCCTCTCCTGTTTTCCAGGTTATATTTACTAATTTTTTCATCATGCCTCTGTGTCATTTACATAGTGCTTTCATTATGGTACTACAGTATTCCATTCATGTGTGCATATACCTTTATTTCTCTTTATTTTCTATAAGTTTCTCATAGTTATATCATATCATATCTGTATTTATGTTTCTAGTATCTGGAGATAGTGCCAAGCATTATAATACATAACTATTGAATGAATGAGGATGAATGAATTTTCCTAATGCCCATGACATTTTCCAGGTTTGACAGAATAACCTTGTCCACCTTTTCTAACTTAAGAGTCTGTATTAGTCTGCTAGGGCTGCCATAACAAAATGTCACAGACTGTGTGGATTAAACAACAAATTTATTTTCTCATGGTTAAAATTTATTTTCAACCCAGTTTTGAGCCTGGGAATCCAAAATCAAGTTGTTGCCACATCTGGTTTCTCCTTAGGCCTCTGTCTTCTGCTTACAGATGGCTGCCCTTTCATTGTGTTCTTACGTGGTTTTTTTCTGTGTGTGCACATCATTTCTGTCTTTTCAACTTCTTATAAATACATCACTTAAATTGAAAAATATACCACCCATATAATATCATTTAAACTTAATTACCTCTTAAAGACCTTATCTCCAAATATAGTAACATTCTAAGGTACTGGGTTTAGGACTTTGACATATGAATTTGGGGCTGGGGGAACACAGGTCAGTCCATAACAGAGTCCTGGAAGAAGCATGGATTTATTTGGTGAGGCTTATAAAAAAGTTCTGCAAATCATGGCATGGTCTAGTTTAGAAGCTTGTGCAAGGAGATTTATTTCTTGTTACTCATACTAACAGTATTTCTTCTATTTATTGATAGATGAAATCTTAGAAATATTATCCCAATATGAATATTATTGAATTATATAACAAAATTTGCGATAAGTTAAGTTCTATTTTTTTCCTATTTCTATATGTCTATTTTGAAGACTTCTATCATTAGCAATCTGACTGCTATGATTTTAGTAATTTAAAAGTATCTCATTCTACTATCTTTCTTTTTCCTATTAGGGCTCAAGAAGCATGTAAAAGACACTGTGAAGAAAAATTTGTTATTGATATGATTGCCTTTCAAAAAGCTTGTGAAAGATTTCAAGATTCTAAAAGAAAAGTTGCAACTATAAAAGGAAATTTAGTCTTTCAAGTTCCCAGTGGAATCACAAAATGAACCAATGCCAGATCACATTCTATGGTCATTTTGAATTATAGCCATTATTTTAGTTAAAGGACTGAAATAATAATATGAAGGAAGAAAATGCTCTATATCACAAGATGCATTTGTATGTAAATTCTCTAAAAATTATAAAGAATAATTAAAATATTTCTCTTGTTGATCATAATTTATCTTAAATCAAGTTGACTTAAAACCCCCCAAAAGTTCCTTTATATATCCAGATGTCCTGATTAAAACTGATTTCATTTATTGCAGAAAATATTGCACAGGCATTGCTTATATTGTTTCATATCCTGAGTATAGCAATTTGTAAGCTATTTTCAGTTTCCCTGGCAACCTTAGCATAGTAATTTCTGCCCCAGCTGCTGACTTTTATTAAGACATTGTATACTTTGATTAGTTTCATTACCTGCTTTTACAATTTATATTTGTTTTTTTTTAAAAAACAATTTCTGAATTACTTTTTTCAATCTAAAGATTTCACCATAATGGTGATTCATGCTTTTATAGAAACTCAGAAAATATTATATAAAATACAAATACAAAATTGATATTAACCAATTCTTTTAACTTCCTTGTACACTGTAATATTTTTGTACATTTACTTTTGATGCATTTTATTTTTGCATATGTAAGGGAACAGGGGAGAGAGAATGAGAGAGGACACATATAATTATGTAATTATGATCTGAAGTACACAACATAGCACACATTAACAAAGTCTATTTAATATATATATTCATGGTATAAAATTTAAAAATTAAATAAGAATATTAAAAAGGTGTAAAAGTCCTTTATAAACTGTGAGTAAAGTTTCAATAGTATTTCCATAATTTAGAAAGATAAATGTCTCATTATCATTATGACATTGCTTAATACAATGTAACTAATATTCAAAATCTCTAATACTCATCACTTATATAAGCAAGTTTAAAAAAAAATCTTTCTTTTTAAAATTATCTAATTATATTAGTCTGTGGTAAATTTCCAAACCTTAAGTATTTTACAACAGCAGGTATTCAGTTGTGCTTCTATCCTGGACTGCCAAACAATGCTGGTAACATTTTCCTATTGTAATGTAAAATAACAGCTGTCTATTTAAACCCATGGCATCAAACTCTCATTTTCTTGTTAATTTGCAGATAATGAGTAAATCATATTGGTATTTCTAATTAGTCTTCAAAAGAAAAAAAAAAGTGAGATATTATGAGGTGGTAAAAAGCATGTCAGATATAAGTTCCCATAAGTTAAGTAATATCTGTTACCTCAGTTTTCTGTTCTGTATTTGGAAATTATACATATTTTTTTTTGATTTAATGAAAATAATCCATGTCATATAGTATTGTTATGATAGATACTTAAGTAAGAAAAAACAAAGCAGCAGTGCCTTCCACAGATGAGCTTTTAATAAAGAGAAGTGTGTTATAGTGAAAGCCATGTAACTACAGGAGTATATGCCCACTATCTTTGTGGGATTTGAAGGGCACCATCAAAGAATAGTAGAATTTTTTATGTGATTTTTTAAATATCATTAATTAATTCAGTCAAACATTAAATGTTTTGCCCTTCCTCTATGCCTCCATTCCATACTGTGGATTTTTTTATATTCTTTATCACACAACAGATACTCAGTAATTTCCTTGATTATTTCCATTCAATTATGAGCTTCTTGAAGACAAAGTCTGTTTTACTTATCTATGTGTTTCTGTTACCTGTACTGAGGCAGATATTACACTACACACAATGCTGTTTCTGTTTATAGCTCTCTTTTTCTATTTATGTGCTGTCCCAGGTCAGTTTCATGACCTGTACTGCTATTTACTGTTTATGTTTTGAAAAATCAAAGATCTGCATTTCTAGGTTATATCTTTCATTGTAATAAATCTCCTGTATCTCCTGCATAGTAGATAACTTACTTTCAAGGCCTCTAATATTTTTAAATTATGCATTAAAATTGAATTTATTATTAATATTATTTTACTATTTTCCCCCTACCCAATCTTGCTTCTCCTTCTATAGTCCCAAACTACCATAGATTTATAACCATCTAAATGGTTTTCCATATTAAAAGTTTAGAACATATCCTTGTCTCCTTTCTCTTACCCTACCATATCTTTTAAATACAAAGCCTATAAATTCTATCTGCAGAATGCTTCTGGGGCAGAGACTGGCTAACTTTCCACCAAACCTATTTTCTATTTCTCTAGGACACAACTAGTTACATTTCCTAATCTCCTTTCCACACTTAATAGCACAAGACTGAATTCTGATCAGTGAAACTGGATAAAAGTAATTGGCAGCCCTTCTAAGTATGTACCATGCACTATCTTCCATGATTGTTTCTCTTCTTTGGCCATCTTAAAAACACATGTTTAAGATGACTTAGCCACAAAATGAAAATAATCACTGCTTGCAGTGTGATCAAGAACACCTGTGTTGTCCCTCACTGGTCCAAAGGAAAATTCAGTTATACTGAGGACTTTGTAATTCCCATCAATTCCATTAGTCCAGCAGCTAATAGTGATTTGATCAACAGAGAATGTGGTACCAAAAGGAAGGGTGCTACCATCACAAAATCCTAGCATAGGTGCTATTGGTTTTCATGGGTAGTGAAGAAACTAACATTGAGGATAAAAATATGGAGACTAAGATCTACTGATGGTGTAGCTCAGTGGTTGACAAATTTTTTCCTAAGGACCAGATAATAAATATTTTAGGTTTTGTGGAATATATGGTGTCTATTGCAACTACTAAATTGTTGCGGTACAAAAATACAGTCATGTATAAAGTGTAAACAAATGAACGTAACTGTGTTACAATGAAAATGTATTCACAAAACAAGGAGCCTGGCCAGATTTGGCCTATGGGCCATAGTTTTCCAACTCTTGCATATTTTTAGATTTTATATATGCAAGGGTGGTAGGCACTCTCTTCTAACCTAATATAAATCTTAAACATGATGAATTTCTCAAATATTTATAACCTTCCTTATACTAATAAAGCCACCTTAAAGTGTGGTTGCATATTTAAATAAATTTGTTTACACATTCTAGTAATTCTAAAGTATTTCATAATAAATCACCATTAAAACAATATATAAATACTGGCACAAAATTTGCTTAAAAGGGAAAGTGCCATATTGAAGCCAAAATTATAATAGGGAGAAACAGGAGTAGATTACACTGAAAAGGGGACGATGGAAAAAAAGGAATTAGAGCCAAAGAGATGATGCACTGTGATCCCTTTCTTTGAATAGTGAGATACCAATAGAAGTAAAGCTTTCTTTTCACTTCTTCCTAGAGTTTTCTTGGGAGAAGCAGTGGCCACTATAGGACCAAAGCAGTATGGAGAGATTATGGAAGCAGCATCTCATTTTAGAAGAAAACTAAAAGAGGTTAATTATCAACTTTCTCTTCTTTTTCTTTCTTTGAACTAAAGAATAAATTTGTATTGTGTGTCCAATGATCCATCCAGTAGCCCAAATCGTGTAATGTTGGAGTGCAATGGTTAAGGGTGCACACAGGCATCGGAACCAGTAAGACCTGGTTTTTAAATACTTTGCCATTTTAACTGTGTGACCTAGAGAAAGTTATTGAAGCTCAATGGAAGTTTCATTTTCTTCATTCAGAAAAGAGATAGTATATGTAAAAGATTTAGGATATTACTATATCATGATAAACACTCAGTTCATGGTAGTGAGACTTAGGTGCAAAAGCAGTAGAGATTTCATGAACTCATGAGAGATGACTCATTCTCTTGAAATTCACCTGGTGTCTTTTTATTCTTTTTCATTATATTTTGAAGAAAATGTTTCCTAAATTTTATATTCATCTGCCTGTAGGAGTGGGTCTTGTGATTATTGAATCTAACAAGTCAGATTTCAAGTCGTTTAATGGAGTGGGTGGGTAGAGGGATGGATAGGACAACAGCAAAAGAAAAAGAGGTCATTATGGAAATATATGGATATTTAGGGTATCATACAAGGACAAGATTAGGCAGAGACTCTAAAATGTTTCCCAGATAAGAGTTTTCTGGCTATTGTTTAACCATTTATAATTTATATAAAATCCCAGTGTTTATAATTTCTCCACAGAATGGATCACCTCAGGCCCAATCCTCCAATTCAGGAAAATTTTATTTTCTCCATAGATTTTTCTTTTAGAAGTCTACTTTCCATTGTCTTCAGAAACATTTGTCAGTTCCACTTTCAGTTAGAACACAGAAATCACATTGTTCTGATAACTACTCAGAGTGAATAAACTCATTTGCTCTTTCTTTCCTTCTCCTTCCCCCCACTTATTTATATGTAAGAGTATCTATATCTATCTATCTATCTATCTATCTATCTATCTATCTATCTATCTATCTATCATCTATCTATCTATCATCTATCTATCATCTCTATCATCTGTCTGTCAACTAGAGGACTGTAGATGAAAAGGAAATTATAGGAACTAAATTCTTGGTAGAGAGAAGCCCTTCCTGGGTGGGCAGAGATGTCAGATTTGGGCATGAGACTTGGGCCTATCAGACAGAGAGATTTGGGTGAATTAATTTAAACTTACAGTTTTATAATTTATGAATTTATGAATATTTTTGGATTGGTGTGTAAATCAGAATCTCTAAAACTTTCAGACATAAAACTCCCAAGGATATTGCTCCTTGCTGAATTTCTCAAGTGGAACTTCTGCTGAGTTTTTATTAAGTCAGGAAGCTAGAAGGTGGTGCTGGAAAAGAGACAGAGAGATGGGTGGGGAGAGGGAGGGAGAAACCATAGAGAGGAATTGATTGATTGGTAATCTTTCATGCTTAGGTTCTAAAGACTTTCTAGGAGGGATTAGTAGTATATGTATGGTTGATTTCAACCTCAAAACCATATATAGAACAGAAACCTACTGAAGCTGAAACAGGGTCCCAGTCCAACTCAATCCCTAATTGGATGAAAGTGACCAATCCCTTACTTGGGAAGCCTGAAAGGATTTTTCCTCCGTAAAAGGAAATCCTTAATAGGAAACTTAACTCTGCTCTCTCCAGTTATTTAAACACAATGTCTTACAAACAATAAAGCT